ATAATGGACACATTAGAAAAAGGCTAATAATGGCTAGAAGTGACCCAAAGAAGCTAAAAATAGAATGGGAAGCTGAAAAAAGAATGGAAAGCTAAAAATAGAAAGGGGCGCTAAAAATAGATTGAGAAGCTAAAAATAGAATGGGATTGATAAAGCAGTTAAGCTAATTAAGTGCTAGAGTTTAATTCTTTCAATTTCATAAAAGGTGTAATAATTAATTACCCGTCTGTTCGAAACAAATTATGAAAAAATGATTTATAAGTAATTATATAATTATAATTAATTATAATTAATATATTTGTCATCATAAATTCTGACCTGGCTGGACCGTCGTTAATTGCACTGGAAGAATTAAATTACGAAAAATAAAATATAGCGAAAAATATCAAAATATTATTTCAAGTTACTTTAATAATATGATAATTAGTTAATATATCTAAAATAATGGATGAAAATACACATAAAACAACACCAACGACAACAAAGTTATCAGCTTCAGCAACTATGGTTATGGTTATGGCCATCCGTGCCACATTCTCCATCGGATCGAAGCTTGAAGACCATTCCCTGTTCAAGATGGATGCAAATGGATGCAGACAGTAAACTCGGTGCTACTAGTTGCCATTGACTGCACCTCCTTGAAAACTGCCTCATCGATCTTTCATAGTAACACCGTCAAAACTGCCTCGAAGTCATATGTGACGCCAGTGCTGCTCAACGAATGGCCTGCAACAACCCCTAAAATAGATAAATCTGAAGGAAGTTTGCCCAGGGCAATCAGACAGACCCTTGCCCAGCTCCGCTTTGGCCACAGCATCTTTCTCGGCAGCTACAAATCAAGAATCGACAGTTCTATATGCCACCAACAACCAGACCTTGTCCCCAATCGGTTCAGCTGCCTCAAGAACCGCACACATCTCAAAATAATAGATCTGTGGAGGAACCAGGTAAAAGTGGCTGACCAACTGACTTGGGCCTCTCCTGGACGTCTAGGAAGGGCAACAACGACAACAACAACAACAACAACAACAACTTCAGCAACTACTTTTACTACTACTCACCATCAACAGCAACAACAGCAACAGCAGCAACTCTACTAACTTGAAGTGCATACATAATGAGTAATCCCATAAGCGTTGGGATTTTCAGGAGCGTCCGTGCCTGTAAAAGTGTAACACTGATTCCCAGCTAGATTTGCTGGGATCCATTCAATGGCATTGCATGCGTTTTCATATAGGCAAAATTGCTTGCAGGAATCTAGAGTTAGTGCATCTGTCCTAACATTGCCTCCGTATTTCTGACTATTCTCGTACGGTATCCACTGACAGTCTGTGTTTTTATATTGGTGTGTACGTGTGTGTGTGTGTATGTGTGTGTGTGTGTGTGTGTCATTTACGTGTGTGTGTGTACGTGTGTGTACGTGTGTGTGTGTGGAGTGTGTGTGTGTGTGTGTGTGATGTACGTGTGTGTGTGTGCGTTTGAAAGATAGATAGATATTAAAAGACAGAGACATGGAGAGAGATAAAGATAAAAAGAGAAAGAACTTTTTCTTTCAAAGAAAAAGAAAAAGAGAGAAAGAGAGAGGAGGAGAAAGAGAGAGAGAGAGAGAGAGAGAGAGAGAGAGAGAAATGAATTAGTAAGAGAAAATATTTTTGCAGTTTGATGGTATGTAGCTAATTAATTTATTCTCTCATGTGTTCTGTGTTTTAAAAAAGTTTGACGTTTTTAAATATGAAAAATATAAAAATACTTGCTCGTGTTGTATTATATTAGATGATGGGTTGTTATTTAAACTCATCTCTTTATAATTATTAATTATGGACAAATTCAATTTTTCCATATTTTAAGTTAAAATAATTCCTCATAAAAAAAGGAACGAAGAAATTTAAAAAAAAAACACCAAACACACACAAAAATTAACTTTTGTTACAGAAAGACAAAAGCATTCCAGGTCCCGACTGCTTAACACCTGCCATGTCATCAAACAGGTAACATTTGTATGTGGAAGCGTTTGGGTCGAAGTTAATCCCGCGACAACCGCTGCTTGTTTCACAACGGTTTTTGCATAAAGAAATCGAGTTTGCCGGATCACCAAGCCCGCCAAATGCTTGCGTGTCGCTCACGTCCACCCAGCTGCATGCTTTTTAAATAAAATGATGAAATATAATATGTAAACTAAACTAAAATCTTATATACGTATATTTATTGTTTATTATTTCAAGTAATTGTATGTAATAATACTTCTACTACTACTTCTTCTTCTTCTACTACTACTACTACTACTACTACTACTACTACTACTACTACTACTACTACTACTACTACTACTACTACTACTACTACTAATACTACTTCTAAAACTACTTTTACTTCTACTACTACTAAAAATAATAATATTAATGACGACGATAATGATACTAAATAATAATTATAATAATAATTATAATAATAATTATAATAATAATTATAACAATAATAATATAAAAAAAGCCAAAAATGC